CGCAGATCAAGGAATTCAACCTATGGCTCTCCTTCGTCCCCAATCCTCGTTCCGTCTAGCGTGCTTCAACGTCCGGACACTCATGCAGATTGGACAGCAAGCCGGTCTAGCGCGCACCCTAGATTCCCTAGACATTGATGTCTGCTGTCTTTCAGAAACCCGATTGCAAGATCCCAGCACTGTGCTTACATTGACATCCCCCACTGACCACGAAGCCAGATATTACCTGCGTCTTTCTGGAGATCCAGAAGCAAGCTCAGCGGGTTTGGCTGGTGTAGGTATAGCACTGAGTGGCAAGGCCGAGGCGGCACTACTGGACTGGTTCCCGATTAACAGCCGACTATGTGCAGTTCGGCTTCGGGGTTCATGTAGAATCAACAGGCAACGCGAAGAGAGACGCAACTTGTTTGTGATCTCTGTGTACGCTCCAACTGACTGCAGTAGCGACTCGGTCAAGGACGATTTCTACCGAGATCTACAACAGCTCTTGACCAATGCTAAAAAGTCGGATGTCGTTATCCTTGCTGGGGATTTTAATGCACGGGTTGGCCGCCTGTTACCATACGAACGCCACCTTGGTGGTCATCACTCGCTCGATGAGAACCGCTCTGATAACGGAGAGAGACTTCTCACATTGTGCGAGGACAACCGTTTGTTTCTTTCGAGCACTAGCTTCAGGCGTACAAAGAAGCGTTGCGCAACGTGGTGTCCCCCTTCGCCAACACAACCTTGGTCTCAAATTGATCACATTGCGATTAGCTTCAGATGGCGCGGCAGCGTACTGGACTGCAGGTCCTTTTGGTCCACTTTCGTTGATTCAGATCATGCTCTGGTCTGCGCGAAAATCTGTATGTGTTTTGGAGGATCCCGAAACACGAAGCACCGCAAGATTGATGTAAACAGATTAACTGATTCCTCTGTCCAGGAGAGCTATCAGTCTTCACTGGCATATGCACTCAGTTGCAATCCACCGCGAGAAGTGGAACAACACTGGACTTGTATACGGAAAGCGCTGACCATTTCCGGACAGTCATACTGCGGTCTAACTCGACGCTCTTTGAAGTCTTGGATCTCTGCTCGTTCTCTGGAGCTCTTCGAACGCCGCAAAGATATCTCCGCGGAATCAGATTGCAACGAGCGGCGCCGTTCTACCAACCGGCTGCTTAAGCAAAGCCTCCGCAAGGATCGCGAGACATGGTGGTCTGAGCGTGCTTTAGAGATGGAGACTGCTGCCCTCTCTGGTAACACTCGCAGGCTTTTCCAACTCATTCGGTCCACTGGCCTCAGGAAGCCTGGTGTCAGTGAGGTCATTTGTGAGGTGGATGAGTCTCCGATCACCAACCAACAGAGGCGTATGGACCGCTGGGCCGAGCACTTTCACTCGCAGTTCAACTGGCCTCCACCATCCATCAGTACATGCAGTACACCTTGGCTAGTCCCATTGAATCCACCCAGCGAAGCGGAAGTCTGCCTCGAGATTCGACGCTTGAAGTGCTTCAAGGCTGCCGGCTTAGACGGACTTCCTCCGGAGCTATTCAAGTATGGCGGTGTGGTAGTCATTAACCAGCTAACCGCGCTGTTCGCAAAAATTTGGCATGAAGAGAGAGTGCCTCCCTCTTGGGGCGAATCAGTTATTGTCCCAATTTTCAAGAAAGGCGCTCGCACTTCATGTGCAAATCATCGCGGGATTAGTCTTATTTCGGTTGCCTCTAAGCTGTTGGCATCCATTCTACTTCGTAGACTATCCCCAGTACGTGAATCGTACTACCGTGAAGAACAAGCTGGTTTCCGTCCTGGCCGCGGATGCGTGGATCAAATCTTCACGCTCCGCCAACTCCTTGAACATCGCCACATTTATCACAGGCCCACTATCGTTGCATTCCTAGACATACGTGCCGCTTTTGACTCCGTTGATCGACCTGCTTTATGGCGTTGCTTACTAAAGAACGGGGTGCCAGAGAAATATATCGCCATCTTACGAGCACTTTACCTTCACACATCCGGCAGAGTGAGGGTCTATGGCAAGCTTTCCTCGCAATTCACTGTCAATAGCGGTGTGCGACAGGGGTGCCCTATGTCCCCATTCCTCTTCAACTTCGCAATCGAAGACGTTCTGTCGAATGCCCTAGAAGGTTTCCAACATTTTGGCCTAGAGCTTCTACCGGGTGAGCGCGTGACCGACTTAGATTATGCTGATGATATCGCCTTACTTGGTGACGATCCTCAGGGTATGCAACTCATTCTGGATCGTTTGGCGGTTGAAGCATCTAAGTATGGCATGAGCTTCGCCCCATCGAAGTGTAAAGTACTGCTCAAGGATTGGCTTTCACCTGCACCCGTGCTCACTCTCCAAGGTGCACAACTTGAACAGGTAGATAGTTTCGTCTACCTTGGGAGCTGTGTTTCCGCTGACGACACAATCAACAAAGAAGTTTTGCTTCGTATCGCTAAAGCTCGATCAGCATTTGTCAATCTGAGGCACTTGTGGCGTCGTCGCGACGTCTCATTCTCACTAAAGGGCCGAGTTTACAGCGCGTCCGTTCGCTCAGTATTGTTGTACGGGAGCGAGTCCTGGCCGATTCGCGTGGAAGACATGCGTCGTCTTTCTGCGTTCGATAACGGTTGCTTAAGGAGGATCGCTCGTGTTCGGTGGCAACATCGAGTTACCAGTAATGACGTTCGACGTCGCGTCTTGGGGAATGCAAGTATTTCCTTCAACAAACTGGTTTTGTTGCGCCAGTTAAGAAGGCTCGGTCATGTCCTACGCATGGCACCTGAGCGTCTACCGCGTCGCGCTCTATTCGCTCGTCAAGGACCTGACTGGAAGCGACCGCGTGGTGGTCAGCCTTCCACTTGGCGGCAGCACATGAAATCGCTGACGTTGTGTCTAGCCGCTGTTGGACCCGTACGTCTTCCAGGATGGGGACCCAAAGATGGCGAGTGCCAATGGCTTAGGACACTTGAAGACATGGCCCGCAACCGGAATCAATGGAAGAATTGTGTACAGTGTTATGTTGATTCACATGTTTAATTCTACAAAAATTGAAAATGACAAAAAAAAGAAAACTCGGCGTGTGAAAAACAAACTAAAAATGTTTTGTTCTGTATTTTTGTCAAAATATTCCATTTTCTTGCGGCATATTAGCTGAAGTGTGTTGCCCACCTTCAGCTAGCATGCCATGACGATTATGACGCAATGACTGTCTCTTATACACTGATTTCCATGGTTTTCTTGGCTCTATGTCTAGTTACTAGACTGTTGAGATTACATTACAGGTGACATCATCAGTGCATAGTTGAGTGGCGTGCAGTAGCGTCGAGGAGCCTCGTTGAGAGTGCAGTGAGCGTGTTGTACGTGCGTTTTTATACCGCCGTGGTTGCCCGTGGAGACGAGCAATCCTATTGGTTGGGACTTCTATCCGCGTTCATAAGCAGATGGTCTTTCACCTTGACCCCTTTTGTTTCTCGGCGTTTGTCTGCTTGCTCTTGCGAGCGAGTCTCGTCAGTTCCGCTTGTCCAGTCACACGTTCCACCGGATTCAATCGATCGTCGCCAGTAATGTTGAGTATACTGCGTCCAGTTCGACGTGTCGATTGATTGAATTCGTTGTACAGTACTAGGCTTCCAGAAACTCCCTCGCGTGTTTTGTACTTCCATGTGCTAGGATCTTTACATTCTCCAGATGGAAATGGTGGCCTTCTTGATCTTCATGCGCAGAAACCAATGAGTGCGAATCATGCCTTCTGACGGCCGCCTTATGTTCAGTGATTCGTGTACAAAGCTTTCTTCCAGTTTGTCCGACTTAGTTTTTATCGCAATCACTGCATTTTAGCTGATAGATGACATTGCATTGGTCGGCTTGATTGCCTTTTTCTTTGCGTCTTGAGATCAATTTCCTTAGAGTGGCGCTTGTTTGTGAGCCACAGAGATCCCATGTGACTGCAGCAACCTTCCTGTTAGTTCGGAGTTCTTGATGTAGGGCAGCACTATTCGTTTGTTTGCTTGCTCAGGCGACTGCTGCTGCTGCTGCTGTTGATGAGACGTTCGTGTCTTTAGGCTTCTGTTGACATTTCTCGTATAACTGTTGTTTCTAAACACTTGATATAGGTGCTTTTCTTCCTGTTTCCGCGATTCGGCTGTGCTGCCGTGCGTTTCCGCTCTTTTGAAGAGGGTTTGAATGCAACTCTTCTTGTGATTCATCGGGTGGTTGTTGTTGTAGTTTAATATGTGGTCCGTATGCGTTTTCTTCCGATATAAGCACCTTTGCGGAGATCCGTCGATATTCCTTGTGACCAGTACACTCAAAAATGGTAACTTGTTATCCTCCTCTAATTCAATCGCAAATTTGATATCTTCGAATGTGCTGTTGAGCAAATCATGTGTGGCCTGTACTCTGTTCCGTTTTACGATGACAAATGTGTCGTCCACGTATCGTATCCAGAGTTTCGGGCTGATAGATTGCAGTGCAATGCGCTCCAATTTCTGCATTCCAGCTTTTGCAATGAGCCCCGAAATTGGTGATCCCATGGATGTTCCTTTCAGTTGCTGGTCCACTTGCCCATCAAAGCGGAAATAAGTGCTCATGCAGAGGTCTGCAACAAAATTGCCAAGCTAAGCGAACAGTTCAACCGCGATTCTTAACTCAACACTCTGATTTTAGGCTCTTAGTTGGAAATTTTCGGATCGCTGCACTTAAGCATTCCTCTTGATTCATTCCTGACGTGCAGTTATCGACGACTAACTCACAAAGGGAGCGTCATTTATCCGAAGTATCCAAGTATTTGTGGTCATCTGAATGAATTCACTTTTTTTCTATTGTCCCTGTCTCCCCACAACGTGTTCGCCCGATAACCTGTTTGTCCAGTCTCTTTCTTTTGGGTTTCGTTCATTTTCTTTTGTCCTATACTTGTTTTTTTATTTACCATCACCGCCACATTTTTTCTTCACTATCTCTTGGGTTTCCATTGTGCTAAACCTTGTTACCTCCTCTATTGCCACAGGAGGATTCTGAGTTGGAGGCTTATCTCAATCGAACACTGAAAGCCCTGAGCAAAGCGCCGTCTGGGGTGCGGGCTCGACGTGGCACCGGGACAGAAAATCGAGGGGATGTACGTTTATTTGTAGTGTGTCCGGATCAAGATTCCTTCGTTCTCTTCCCCTCTCTAATGTGATCCGGAAATCTCACCTGCAATTTTTTGTTATCTGAGTTTGAAAGCCTTGCTCCCTGCCTCCTTTATCGGATAGTTGATAGCTATCATTTTGTGTCATCTTGCCAAGCTTGGTCCACCTTAACGAATGTGCCGCTTGTTAAACTCTGTGCATTGCGTTAACACGCGCTATCTCTTTTCTAGGACCGCAAAATCAGAGGAAGTGCGGATGACATCCATCTTTATACTCTCCATGCCGTTGTCTCTTATTGTGCACATTCTTAGTTAGATATTTCTATGTGAATGTTACATTGACAATGTTGCCCATTCTGGCAACAATGCGCCGGCAATCAAACCGTTTAAATCGGTTGCAAATCCAACACCTTCCTCGTCTTTGACTAATCACGTAGTATCTGCGGCTGATTGCGTTATCTTTTCTATATATCCCACCTTGCATCAGGCCGCTATCCCTACTGCTGCCGCACGGGAGAAGTTAACGGAGATTTTCAAAAAAATTGGCTCCAAAAATCCGGAGCAGGTGAGTGCGTTTCCCTCTCTCTCTACGGCCGTAACGCACACACATGCAAATGTTTCTAGTGATTCATGCATTATATATATATATATATATATATATATATATATATATATATATATACCAATTGCAGTACCACTGACTGAGTGACACAACGCACTAGAAAAACTAGATTGAAAAGTAGAGCGTCAGTTAGGGAACAAGACTCACATGTGAACCATTATGTACGATCCTTGGCCATATCCAGGAATTTTTACAACCATATGTGCTCGCGATCCTTGGGTCCCCAATCCTGGAGTCGGGAACGCTCAGCAACAAACAGCTTCGGCATTTGCACATTGAATCCAGGTTTTACATGAGCCTACTGGTCATCGCTCTCATGTGGAATTGGGTTGCGTTCGATCGATTTCGAGCGGCTGATTGATGCGGCCAGAAATTTGTTTCTTTGCAATGCGTTTTTGGAGATTCGAAAAGGGAGGTGATTTGAATAAATGTGGAACGATGAAGGTGTTTTGTGGTACAGTAGAGTGAAGTTTAGCATGTTCTGGTGCCAGCACCTCGGCCGGAGAGAGTCCAGAGAACGAGAACCGTGGACCTAGGTTGTAAATCCATCATTTCGTATGCTATGTGGCCATACGGCTTCCCGGTTTCCCGGGCCGGGGAACAGGCCCCACACGTAGCCTTCGGTCATAAGGATTGAATTTACAAGGCAGTGCGGCGAATTCAGGGAGTCACGCCCATTGAGAGTCTGTTATCGATCGCTCGGTTCACACGCCTTTCATTTGGCGGGTTGCCAAACCAGAGCCCAATACTCCCAGCAATTTGGCGTCCAGCTGAAGGATTATAAAGCTCCAGCGATACGAAGCAAAGAGCAGGGATTTTATTTAGTGGCGATTCACATTCGCCATGTCGCAATGTTGTTAAATAGACATGTGTGGTTCTTTGTAGGAAGAACGCTTACCGAGCGTAAACCCACTAGGTTCTGAAACACTGCCGTTGAACATTTTACTGGAACAGGTAGATCACGAACCACCCAGCTGTCACCACGAGGAGGTCGTTAGACAAGCCAACCCATGCATTATCATTACCGCACTAGATATCGCGCACAATTTCTTCGTGCCCCCTTGCTGAATTCAACATACCACACAGTACTCAGAGGTTATCCGTGGGTTCCGCTGTTTTACATCCCCTTAGTCTGACGTGTCAGCTATTTGGCGTCCGCTCACGAACCTATAGGATTACCCGACCATCTTCAACGATTAGCCTAATTTACACTGTGGAATGATGAGCTCCCTCGGCGCCTTCTGAGACCAAGGAACCTGTCTTTGGAACAATGTGTGGACGGCTGCTTGAGTGAAGCAAGGACGGTGCAGCGGTTCGAGCATGTGAGAGCCGAAACAAACACCGATCTATGCGCGGCATCCCGCACCAGCAATAGTCCCCCCCAGACACCCGTAGGACAGGGTCCGAGTTGTCAGTTTTGCGCTCGTGTACATCCAAGAAGAAAGCAGAGCTGCCCAGCCTGGGGTCGAACGTGCACAAAATGTTCCTAGAAGAACCATTTTGCTCGCTGTTGCTGATCCGCTAAGGCCAGCCCAGTAGCCGAGAGCATCAACGAACAGTTACAAGGATTTTCGTCAAGCAACTTGGAAAATCGTGGAGAACACAAGTTTGTTTTCGCGACGCTTTTGATTCGAGGACGACCGGTGCGCTTCCAGCTGGACTCGGGGACTACTGTCGACATCCTACCTGAGAAGCACTGTGTGGGAATGACATGTGACAGGACGCAGAACTACCTCAGAATGTGAATGGTTCAAAGCTGCTGCCGATAGGTACCGTCACGTTGAAGACCATCAACCCGAAAAACGGCACAGAACACTAACTCGATTTTCAGCTAGTCTCAGGAGACCTTATGCCCATTCTGGTTATTGCTACTATTCAGCGTCTCGGTTTTGTCTCTTTTAACCATGAAAGTTTCGTCTATTCATGTGAAGCTAACATAGATATTGTTGACAGCTACCCAAGGGTGTTTGACGGGGTCGTAGGGAGATTCTAAGGGTGTGCTCATTTATCTTTAATCGAATCCGCTAAGCCGGTAGTGTTGCCAATCAGAAAGGTGCCTATTGCCTTACATGAGAAGTTTTTAGACGAGCTGCAGCGTCTTGCCAGTTTGGATGTAAAAGCCAAAGTTGTGAAACCGACAGATTGGGTTAGCCAGGTGGCGATCGTTCCTGAGAAATCTGGAGTGCTTCGCACGTGCATTGATCCAAAACCACTTAACGCCGCACTCAGGAGGGAGCATTATACGCTACTGACGCTAGACGACGTACTTCCGGTGCTATGCAGAGCTAAAATATTCACTAAAATCAACCTTGCTTCTGCGTTTTAACATGTATTACTTGATGAAGAGTCAAGCTACCTGACCACGTTTATGACACCTTTCGGGCGTTTCCGCTGGCTTCGTTTGCCGTTTTGACTGCAGGTATCTAGCGAGATATTCCAGTAACGACTGGAGCAGGCTTTAGACGATTTACCAGGAACGTTCTGTGTAGCAGACGACTTTTTGGTTTTTGGCACAACAGGAGAGGAGCACGACCAGCACCTTCACCGATTTTTGCAGCGTTGTTTTGAAAGGAACATCAAACTGAAACGAGAGAAGATCGAGTTGCGTAGGACGGAAGTGGTATTTCATGGACACGTGCTAAGCTCCGAAGGACTGAAACCAGACCCAGAGAAAGTCAGGGCCATCAAACAGATGCCTCCTCCTACTGACGTGGAAGCCGTTAGCAGGCTGAATGGGATGGTGAATTACCCAAATCGTTTCTTGCCCAGATTAGCCGATGTAATGGTACCAATTCGAAAACTGACGCATAAGAGTGAGAAGTGGCATTGGGACGCGGAGCAGGAGAGAGTATTTCAGAAACTAAAGGAATTGATCACAAGCGCCCCTGTTCCCGCTTACTATAACCCAGCACTCCCGCTCGAGATCCAGTGTGACAGCAGTCAGTATGGTATGGGAGCCGTACTCATGCAAAACGGTAAGCCTATCGACTTTCGCAGCCGGACGCTGACAGAGACCGGGCGACGTTACGTGCAAATAGTGAAAGAAATGATTGCATTGATTTACGCCGTGGAGCGTTTCATTGCCTATACGTTTGGCCGCAAATCCACCGCCTTTACAGACCACAAGCCCCTAGTGTCGATCGCCAGCAAGCCGCTCCATGTTGTTCCACGCCGCCTGCAAAGGATGCTTATTCGTCTGCAGAAGTATGATCTAGAGGTTGTCTACCGGCCAGGATCCCAGATGCACATTTCGGACACGCTGTCAAGAACCCACCTGTCAGATACGCCAGGAAAGGAAGAAGACCCAGATTTTGTCCATGCAACACAGCTGATCGCCGTCACTGAGGAACGCTTGCAGCATCTCCAACGATACACTGAGGAGGACGAATTGTGTAGGCTGCTGAAGCACACGTTGACGAACGGATGACCCGAAGACCAGAAAAGGTTACCAAAGGAGCTGACTCCATTCTTCCATTTTTGTGGCGAACTCATTACTCGGGATGGATTAATATTCAAAGGCAACAGGATAGTGATTCCAAAGGTACTGCATCGTTCGATGCTGGAGTTGATACATTATGCACATTTAGGAACCAACAACTACGTGGCAAGAGCTAGAGAGCTGTTGTTCTCGCCCGGAATGACCAGCCAAATACGCGACTGCGCTTCCAATTGTGTAACATGCAGAGCACACGACGTACACCAGCGAAAAGAACCGATGATGCTGCGTGACGTTTCTGACAGACCCTGGCAGATGGTTTCATTAGACATTTTTTATCACGATGGAAGGAACTATTTGATTGTGTTAGATTATTTTAGTGACTACTTCGAGCGATGCGCTTACACCGACTAGTACGCAATCCGTGGCGAACAAGTTGCGGTGCCAATTTGCTCGGCATGGAATACTCGAGGTGGTGATTTCAGACAACAGGCCGCATTTTAATAGTGCAGAGTTTCGTGCATTCGGCAAGAAGTGGGATTTTCGTCACCGGCTAACCAGCTCATACCATAGCCGATCAAACGGTAAGACTGAGTCCGCAGTGAAAAAGGCGAAGAAAATGCTTACAAAAGCCAAGGAAACCCAGCTACTCGGTCGAAGGAATACACCATTTACTGATATCGAAGCGAGTCGCCGAACAAGAACTCTAATACCGACCGTTACAACTCTACTGCAGCCCGAGATAGCACCGTCCGATGTCCTACACGACCGAGTATGAAACAGAATGCTAAGGCAAAAAAGTACTATGATCGGGGATCGAAAAGCCTCCCATCACTAGGTACAGGAGAAGAAGTATGGGTACAGCTATTACCGGAATCCGGTGGATGTTGGCGGCTAGGAGTGATCGATGGCCGGATTGGAGAGAGGAGCTATGAAATCAAGATTGGGGGCAATCTCATCCCACGGGATCGGGTGCAACTGTGGAGAGTGCGCCAGAAGTGGACACCGCAGAGAGAGGGTCTGCAACAACAACCGGAGAGGAATACTGCTACCCAAGCCCAGGACATTAAACGCACACGAAGTGATAGGCAATACGGAACATATTGTAACACCATTTTAAACAACGAAAAAGGAAAGGATGTGATGGGGCTGGAAATACTGGTGATTGGAAATACTGTAATGCCGATCGAAGGTCACAGGTCAGACCGATAAGGAGTGAGCATGTTGCCGGAAGCAGATTGGTCAGCCACTCAGGAAATAGTTGGCCCATAATCGCGTCCACCCTGCCACTACCCACTGAACGTGCAAGTGACCAACCAGGCGAAGGGTCGCATACTCGTGCACCCTTGAGCCAAGGCTTATGGCATTGGGACCGAGGGAAGAAGCGCGCGTGCCGAATCCCGCCGATCGTACATCCACTAAGAAAGTCAAGGTGATTTTAGACAGGGTGCACGTGGCGAGCAAGCATAAACCAATGGAAAGGGAGCCAGCGACACAATGCGAATAA